GTGGGGAAAAAAGGGAAAAGGGGGAGGGTTGGGGGGGGGGGGGGGTGCTTGAGACTGTTGAACACAGGTCCTGATTATTATGAGCGACCGAGCATTCCAAGCACTCTGATGTGCACTGCTGGAACGACCGTCACAGTCCGCAGGTGGCGACAAACACCATAGTCTCTCCCTGTATTGAGGAGACGACCAGCGCACCACTGGTCAGAAGATGAACAATGAAAATACATAAATACTCCGTGCGTTATATTGCTTATCTCATATACCCTTTTGCATACTGCCCTGACATTGCTATAGTAGATCGTTTCGGCGACGAATACAAGCAAGCTTTGTGCACAAGGTGCCCTCTTTTGAGTCGCTATGTAACAACATATGGAGTATTCTAGCTTTCACCAGGCGGTGCAAGAGTGTGCAACGATGTGCAAGCCGTACTACCTACCTGGAGTTGGACGGGTCTGCGCGAAGATCTTCCCGCAAGTGGTGCTGCCGCTCCCTCAGATTCACCAGCTGCCTGGACAGCTGCTTCAGCGTAGCCTGCAGCGCAAAGCAAACCGTCGACGGCAGCAACGGTCCCGACCCCGACGCAAGGGGGCGCCGCACCAAATGAGGGGTAGGCACGAGGGTCTGTCAGATTCCGTATAGGCGGACGCCGCGTGTCACTTCGGAGGTGCGAACGGCAGTTACACTGGCAAACGATCCAACAATAGCTCAAGCAACGGACGACACAAGTGCAGGCACGGTGATACTGTTGGTGTCGGTGAAAGGGCTGCGATCTACCGTACCCCCATGCGCATAAAACCCACACGATAACGAAGGGGCCTTGGCAGCGAAAAAGCAGCTGAGGCTGAGAAGCACTTCTTCTCAAGGAGCAACGAGGTCGGAAGGTGTCTCTATATAACGGGAGCAAGAAATCGCTGACATTTGGTACTGTATAATGCTTCAACGGCGTGCCTTGTTATCTTGGACGTTCTTGCCAGAAGATCGCGGCGAGAGAGAACCTCTGCGGCTGCTCCCACCGCTGCCGCCACCAGCGCCCTCTCGGCCGCGCGCGTCATCCCCCACAACCCCCCTCAAGCTCCCGCCGCCCTCGCTCTCCCTCCCTCCGTCCCCTCC